CGGGGCGGCTGGCCGACCTGGCATGGGGAGGGCACGGTGTTCTTCCACCGCGTCGCCGATGACGGCTGGTGGAGCGTCTTCCGGGTGGACATCTCGCCGGAGACCCTCGAGCCCTGCGGCGCCGATACGCGCGTGACGCCGCCGGGCGTGCACTGCTTCACCCCTGCCGCCGCGGGCCGTTGGATCGCCGTGGCGACGCGGCGGAAGGGGCGGGCGCAGCGCCACATCGAGCTGTTCGACCTCGAGACGGAGCAATTCACCTCTGTAACGTCGCTGCTCAACCCGGAGCTGCACCACTACAACCCCTTCTTCTCGCCGTCCGGCGCGCGCCTCGGATACCACCGCTTCCGCGGCGCGGGCGCGCCGGGCGACTCGCTGATCCCCTACCGGCAGCCGGTGCGCAGCCCGGTGAGCTCCGTCCGCATGCTCCGCGTGCACGGCTCCTTCCCGTCCTTCTCGCCGGACGCGAAGTACTTGGCCCTCAACGGCGACTTCTTCAAGTCCCCCGGCGTGACGATCCTCCGCGCCGACGGCTCCAAGCGATGGGTGCTCGCCAAGCAGCCCAACCTGTTCTACACGTCGTGGAGCCCCAGCGAGAGCGGGGTGGTGTTCACCTCCGCTGGCCCCATCTTCGAGACCCCGAAAGCGACGGTCCGGGTGGCGCGCATCGAGTTCGACCCGACGGAGCTCACCGACGACCGCGGCGACGTCGACGTGGCCGTGAAGGAGCTGACCCGGCCGGAGGCCGGCAACGACGCGTTCCCGGCGGTGTCGCCGTGCGGGCGGTGGCTGGTGTTCCGGTCCGGCCGGTCGGGCCACAAGAACCTCTACATCGTGGACGCGGCGCGCGGGGAGGAGACGATACGGCGGGTCACGGACGGCGAGTGGATCGACACGATGCCGAGCTGGTCGCCGGACGGGGAGCTGATCGCGTTCTCCTCCAACCGGCACGAGCCGGGCAACGCCGCCGTGTTCAGCATCTACCTGGTGCGGCCGGACGGGACGGGGCTGCGGCGGGTGCACGTGGCCGGGCCGCCGGGGAGCGCGGAGGCGGACAGGGAGCGGATCAACCACGTGTGCTTCAGCCCGGACGGCGAGTGGCTGCTCTTCACGGCCAACCTCGGGGGCGTGGTGGCCGAGCCCGTCTCAGGGCCGAACCAGTTCCAGCCGTACGGCGACCTGTACGTGTGCCGGCTCGACGGCTCCGGTGTGCGCAGGCTCACCTGCAACGCCTACGAGAACGGCACGCCGACGTGGGGCCCGGCGCTGGGCGTGGAGTCGCTGTCGCTGGGCGCCCCCGCCGCCGACGATTCGCTGGGCGAGTTCGACGAGCCGCTGTGGCTCACCTGCGGCGTGTGAGGTGCAGAGATGGTGATCGATTGGTTGGGTGCAGCCACGGCGGTTTCGAGTGGCTTCGGTCGATAATATTTTAATTTAATAGTGGTGCGAATGATCCTCATTCTGGTTGATTGTGTTGTCAGACGTTTTGTATTGTTGCTAAGTAATAAAAACAAGTGCTTGTGTGGAATCCACTATCTGTTGTCAGATAAAGTTATGTCAGTGACAAGCCTGGATGAAGACTGACGGACACAGGGCAGCGCTACGCGCCGGTCGACCGGCCCAAATTTGGACCGGTCACCGCGCATCCGCTTGATTCAACCACAAAGCAAGTCATTTGATTCGGTAATGATTCACTGGTAGTTTTTTTTTTGCGGGTGAATTCACTGGTAGTTTACATACAATAAACAAGATAATTTATATTTAATAGTGATGATAACTATGCAAAGTACAGACCATTGGCCATGGAAAATTAACATTTTATGAACACATCCTCAACACATAGCAACAAAAAAAAGAACTACTATGATGCGCGCTGACTAAAAAGTTCAATGAAATTAATTTTTTGACATGAACACACCATTGAATAACTAACCACGACCCCCGCAAAAAAAAGAATAACTAACCATGATGAATAATAAACCCCATGTCTGATCTTGGTACATTAGATACATCAAGCACGATGAAAAAAACAATTAAAAACTACTCCCTCCAACTAATATAAGAGTGTTTAGATCACTATTTTAGTGATCTAAACGCTCTTATATTAGTTTACAGAGGGAGTATCAGCTAAAATTATTAGGACATTTGGCACTGTTCGAGGGAAAACCCAAGCGACAAAAATGGTCTAAAATTGGCAGGCTACAGACCTGACTACTAAGATGCAATAAGGTTGATAATTACATATCAAGAGCTATGGGAATAGCTGGCAGTGGATAAATTACTGCACATAATGCGAGCAAAAAAGTGTACAAAATGAACTAACTAATCCATGGCAACAACTCAAGGCCATGCCTGATAACTAAGGTGAGAATAGCCTGATAAGTATAGAGTGCATGTATCAACCAAATTCAAATCCAGTGCTTTCCTGATCATGGTGATGACAATATAGCAATAAACCAGAGAAAAAACAACTATGAAAACGATGATCCACAGTAGCAGCACAAAAGTCGAAAAGTCCATTCTGCACCCGAGCTCATATGCTCCCGCATGAACAGTAAAATCGAAAAAAATTCAAAAAATTTCAATTTTTTTTGAGAGAAACATTGACAAAAGTTCTAAGTGCCTGCAAAAATTCATCATGAAATCACATTCCTGTAAGGTGTGGCAAAAAAAACAAATTCAGTGATTCAAAATGCATTTGAAAGTAGCTTTTTCAGAGTACTATTTTTGTTTTTTTGCCACGCCTTCTAGGAATGTGATTTCATGACGAATTTTTGCAGGCACTTAGAACTTTTGTCAATGTTTCTCTCAAATTTTTTTTGGAAATTTTGGAATTTTTTTAATTTTTTTTTGATTTTACTGTTCATGCGGGAGCATATGAGCTCGGGTGCAGATTAGCCGCGTCCCACAAAAGTATCCAAATCCGCGGATTGCAAAAACCATACCATCCCATACTCGCCCGCAAGATAGAGAACCAATGTCATCGGCATCGTTCGCTTTTGTTGCAAAGCTGATATGATTCGCCATTTATATAAGTGGTCTATATTTTACTTGAGAAACATAAGTGTGACGATATGGACAATGCATAGTGTGTTGTCAAATTTGTTTTGAAAAGTGCTTACTGACAGATTGGGAACTTTGTTTGACGCGGGATAGTTGAGCAGACGCTAGAATGGGCCGACCCAACACGAACCACATGTCTTCAACATACTTTTTTTTCACATTTTTTTACTTTTGCTTACATTTAGACATAAAAACATATATATGAAAAAAATGTCAATCATGTATTTGAAAAATGCTAAACATGTATATAAATATATATTCCTGATTCATATAATAAATGTACAATGTGTATGGAAAAAGTAGACAAAAAGTATATGTTTTAAAAATTAATCTTGTATTTAAAAATTGTTAAACATGTATATAAAGAATATTCCTGCTGTATAAAAAAAATGCACAATGTGTATGGAAAAAATTAGACATAAAAAATAATATAAGTTTTCAAAATTTTAGTCACATATTTGAAAAGGTTAAATGTGTGTATAAAAAATGTTCCTGGTGTATATATAAAATGTAGAATATGTATGCAAAACAATTTGGCATCAAAGTATGTTTGGAAAGTATAATCATGTATTGGGAAAAATGTTCAACGTATACATAAAATAATTTTTTTCAAAAAGCTCCACGTAGTTCAAGAACATGTTTATTGTCATTAATAGAATGTATGTGACATTTTTAAGAAATATTCACATGTTTCCAACAAAAGTGTGCAATTTAAAAAATTATTTATGCAGTGTTAAAAACATTCACATAGTTTTAAAAAAATATTTCCATTTAAAAGGTTTTGAACGTGTATCTGAAAATTGTTGACCAGGCTGAATACGTGTCCCAAACTGCACATGAAAATAAAAATGTACAACATGTATATAGCAAATGTTCGACATGTATTAAGAAAAGGTTCACGTGTCCGCTAAAAATGTATATTCTATACCGCGAAAGTAGACATGTGTTAAAGAAGGAAAACCAGTCAAAAATTGACAGAAAAAGAAAAATAATCCAATAAAAACAGGGAAATAAACAAAGTAATCCGGTTCAAAAAGAAAGAAAAGACAAAATCAGTGAAAACCGAGGAAAAAACTTGATTAAAAAACAAAGAAAGCAAGAAAATGGAGAAAATTGTGTGAAAAACAAATAAATTTTAAAAATAAAAAGCGTAAAAACATAAAATCCGAGCCTAAACCAGTACAACCGAACAAAACCACTAGTGTCACGACCGAAACCCAGCAAACAAAAGAAAAACACGAAAAATGGACCAGTCTAGTAGCTACATGTAGGGAATCCTTAAGATGAGGCGGACAATATACTCGCTATAAGTAAGATATAGTCTTCGCGGTCTCTGCTTTTTCTTTTAGGCAATCTCGTGAAGTTTTATTGAATCATCATAATATTTGTAGGAATGAATAAAAGTCATCAGGTTAGCCGTAATCTAGCGAAGCATGCTTTACAATTAGAGTTGATTGTCATGTTTGGTTAGGCTTCGCGTCGCTGCAAAGAGGATGCACTTATATATTCCGAGAGGGTGTGGGCTGGACCTTAACACAGAGCCCACAGCCATGGTAGGCCGCAATTTATTATTCAGCTCACGAACGATGTTCTTCTCAAAAGAAAAAAAGGCTCACGAACGATGCCGCCGCTCGCACAGGTGGTAGTGAGCTTCTGGGAATGACTTGGCCACATGGCATATCCACTGCCCCGCTAGACGGTGTGCGTCTGTGGGCAGGTCAAGCGCATTGAACAAGGCCGCCCGCCGGGCTGCCACGAGGCCAACTACGTGGCCCGCATGCAACGCGCCTTGCTGCCACTTCTACACACACCCTCGCCGGCCGACCGCTCATATAAAAGCAGCTCCCCGGTGCGTCCTCGCCGGCATCACTCGAGCGCCGTTCGCCGCAGCAGCAAAGAACTACGCAGTAGCTAGCTTTCAGTGTCTCTCATCCATCATGCCGGGCCTCACCATCGGCGACACCGTCCCCAACCTGGAGCTGGACTCCACCCACGGCAAGATCCGCATCCACGACTACGTCGGCAACGGCTACGTCATCCTCTTCTCGCACCCCGGTACGTGTATATGCCTTGCCTTCACGGCCTGCTCGATCGTAATCCCTGTGAAGTTGTGTTCTGGTGCTGATTGATTGTCTGTGCTTGTGTGCTACTGTTCAGGCGATTTCACCCCGGTGTGCACGACGGAGCTGGCGGCCATGGCCAACTACGCCAAGGAGTTCGAGAAGCGGGGCGTGAAGCTGCTCGGCATCTCCTGCGACGACGTGCAGTCCCACAAGGAGTGGACCAAGGACATCGAGGCCTACAAGGTTCGCCCATGATCTGTGATCGATCCCGATCTGAAAAATTCTTGGTTGCTGACTAGCCATGCATGGTGGGATAATTTCTCTGCTCTCGCGCACGCAGCCTGGGAGCAAGGTGACGTACCCGATCATGGCGGACCCGGACCGGTCGGCCATCAAGCAGCTCAACATGGTGGACCCGGACGAGAAGGACGGCGAGGGGCAGCTGCCGTCCCGCACCCTGCACATCGTGGGGCCGGACAAGGTGGTGAAGCTGAGCTTCCTGTACCCGTCGTGCACGGGGCGGAACATGGACGAGGTGGTGCGCGCCGTGGACTCGCTGCTGACGGCGGCCAAGCACAAGGTGGCCACCCCGGCCAACTGGAAGCCCGGGGAGTGCGTGGTGATCGCGCCCGGCGTCTCCGACGACGAGGCCAAGAAGATGTTTCCCCAGGGGTTTGAGACCGCCGACCTGCCCTCCAAGAAGGGCTACCTCCGCTTCACCAAGGTCTAGGCGTGCGTCCGTGCTAGCTCGGTTACTTGTGGCGGTCTGTGTCGTCGTGGTGCGTGCGTGCTTTTGTGGTGGTATGTGTCGTGTTTCTTCTGTAAATCTACCAGCGTCGCTGGGCTATGTATGTGTACTGTGACTTTGCCACTTTCATGTGTTCGATCGCCGGTATATCCATGTGTGTGTTGGTCGCTTGGTGTCATCATGTTTGGAGAACCGCTTTGCAGTGTTCTTGATGGACGGCGGCACGTATCAGCACGGCTGCTGCGAATCCACGCTGCCGTGCCGCCTGCTCGTGTCGTGGCCTAAATGCGGGCTAAGGCAAATGTGCAAACCGGCTCATCTGACGTGCCTCCATGGAAACTTGACTGTAGCATCAAAACAGGGAAAAAAAAAGTTAAAGGCACAAAGACAGGCACGTGGTTATATGCTCCCATGTAGCGCCCGTGCCGGTCACTGGTTGAGCTGACAATTGGGATCACAGTTCGCAGAGATATAAGAATGTTATAAAAGAAGAAAAAAAAGATGAAAACCGACAAAGAACAAAAGGAAAGCGGAGAAAAATCAAGAAAAATGAAAAAAGTAAAGAAAGGAATAAAGAAAAATCAAAGTGAAACAAAGAGAACCCTGAAGAAAACAAATGCAAAGAAGTGAAAGCAAAGAAAACCGAGCAAGAAACAAAGAAAACCGAAGAAAACAATTGAAAAGAAAAAAATGGTTAAAACAAAATCCAAAAAAAAGAAAACCTTGAAAAAGTAAAGGACATAAAAGCCGTAGAAACAGGTAAAGAAACAAAGATAATGAGGGGGGAAATAAAGAAAACCGCAGCCAGACAGAGTAAAATATACCTTAAATGTACACATAAAAAATATATTAACATGTAAGCAAACCAAAGAAAAATGAAGAGATCAAGGGAAGGAACAAAGAAAAGTCAAAGTGAAATAACGAAAAATTAGAAAAATCAAAGAAATACAAAAGAGTGGAAACACTGGAAACCGAGCGAAAAACAAAGAAAACAATTGTAAATCTAAAACAAAATAAAGAAAAGCGAAGAAAAGAATGTAAACTGTTCAAAACAGATAATAATATTCAGGATTAACGGATCGTTCAATGTGGTGGCCCATTCAATTTCAAAGTTTAGTTTTGACAAGTATGATTGGCAACTTAGGTATACGTGCAGGACTTATAAACTGAAACAGAGGTAGTATATGGAATGGCATACTTGTTAATGGTGTTTTTGTAATGAATGATTGTAACAACTCTTTTGATTAATTAATATGTGAGGCGGTGTTAAAAAACTAGTTTCATACAAGACATCCATAAAGGAATATGTCTAAAGGTTTTCTTTAACTCATCTGCTTCAGGTGGTTTGGGGGTCAAAGAAACAATAGTATCATTTATATCATCAGGAATGCATCCATCATTAGAAAAACTGGTTAACTGCTTTGGTCATCTCATCCTTCATGATTCCCTAATGTCTCTGAAGGAATTGAACTGGAAAACCATTAGACCGCGGAGGTTTTAAAGGGTCGATTTGAAAAAAGAGCATTTCTGATTTCCTCATTGCTATTTTTTTTTCAACAAAACCTCGTTCATATTCGTGGTACTGGTTGGATGGATAAGTTGTAGCATCTCCCCTAGGTCCATCTAATTATCTTTCTCGAAGAGCTTCCCTATAAAGAACATATTGGTGTTTTTCATTTCTTCAATGTTTTTTTTAACACAGTACGGACGCAAGCGCTCATATACACGCGCATACATTCATGCTCGTGTCATGGGTAATCAGAAACGAGAGAAACGCAAGAGTATTTCGGCATAAGAGCGCTCCTCCGCCAATTCTGCTCAATTTCATTGTGGTCGAGGCAAAGCCTTTGGGTCACCGCCGGGACAAAAAAGTTAGGGTCTTTTATTTTGCGAGAGTAATGCCATGTCGCGTAAAGGGTGTGTGTTGTAAAAAAAGTTCTATTCTCTCTTTAACGAATACATGAGGCAAAGTTTTTGCCTCCGTTTCAGAAAAAGAAACAATAGTATCATTTATATCATCAGGAATGCAGCCATCACTAGAAACGTTGCTTAACTGCTTTGATCACCCCTAATGTCTCTGAAGGAATTGAACTGGAAAACAATTAGACCCCGGAGGTTTTAAAGGGTCGATTTGAAAAAAGAGCATTTTCGATTTCCTCATCGGTGTATTTTTTTTCAACAGAACCTCGTTCATATTCTTGGTACTGGTTGAATGGATAAGTTGTAGCACATCCCCTAGGCCCACCTAATTATCTTTCTCAAAGAGCTTCCCTGTAAAGGACATATTGGTGTTTTTCATTTCCCCAATGTTTTATGTGAGGGAGCCACCGATCTTTCCAAGCCTCAGAGTTTTGTTCCTTTTTGCATGGCCCAAAGCCTTCCTATGAGGCTGGTATTTTTATCTCCTTCCCCAAGTCAACCCATTCTTGAGCGTTGCATCCACAAAAGTTTCTACCTATAGAGAGTTTCATCGATTCTTGCTTGGATGGAGTTTACTTCCTCCTAGTTGGTACTGTATTTTCATATTTCTATTTGTTTTCATTGCATTTGTTATTTATTTTTTATTTTTTGCATTTTTTATAGTTTCCCATATTTGTGCAACTGCACTTTGTTTGCGCATTTGTACTTCCGCCTTTTTATATTTACAACTTTTTATCCATGTTAAGTTTATTTTAACGATGAGTAAACATGACAAAAATATTTAAAATTTTCAGCCACTTGTGCTCTCGATACTTGGTGCGGAGCATTCCACGTTCATCTCCATGTACACTCCGACTACTCTCCAAATCTCAAGTGGACATATGACAAGACCTCGAACATACGCCATTGGACACAAGATGAACTCGCTCCTCTCCGAATCATCACTTTCTACATGTGAGATATGGCTGCTACCTCCAACGTGTGTTCTATGCATGATCAGATACTTGGAGGAAAGCCACGAAGTCACCACATCCAACGGAACAGCTAGCGAGGACGCCAAGTACAAGGACCGAGAGAAGAAGCTGCGTGAAGCTACAGCCACCGGACGACCGGCCCAGCCCGGACGTCCGGCCCCTGAGGACCCGAGCCGAATCTACGGACGACCGGAGCCATCGGACGTCCGACGACTCCCAGCGCCCGGACGACCGCCAGACACCGGACGTCCGACACTCTCCAGCGCCCGGACGACCGACGCCGACCGGACGTCCGACACCACCTTTCCAGAGCCAAAACGCCGGACGTCCGACATGCACCGGACGACCGGACCCTCGCGAGCCACCGGACGTCCGGTACCTGTCGGACGTCCGACGCCTGTGCGCCCGCCCGTGTGTTGGGCCGAAGCCACTTACCCTTTCATTCGCCTAGACTATATATACTCCTCCACCTCCTCCTAGTTAGGTTTAGTGTTGTGATAGCTCATTCGAGAGATAGAGCTACGCTCATCCATTACGGATCTACTCCACGAGAGAGATCGCGGCCCCTCTACGGAGAAGATCCCCTTGGATTCAAGACCCCCTCTTGGGTGGCCCCATCAAGACCTCCTCACGGA